GGCCTGAGGGAGAGTCACCCACCCCCGGCCACTAATCCCGGGTAATTGCATCTGCATCTGAATGAATGATGTCAGGCCCTTCTACAGCTGTGACCCACTGGGGTCATCAGCCAATCAAAGCCTCCTAGCGCAGCTGGGTGCAGTCAGTGGTTCTCCTAGATCTTATCAGGGCTGACTTCATTACCCATCAGAACTCTGCTCTCACTCTCAGTCTCAGTTTTCCTCTGCTCACAAACACCCAGAAAAGGAAGGAGCTTAAAGTCTTCTAGCCCACTGATTTTCTAAGTTGGTGTTTTGTAATCAAGGCATCTCTCCCTTGTCGTAAGCCTCACCACAAACCAGGAAAAGAAGGCAAGGCACTTGCATGTGCTTTGGTCATGGAGGGGAGGGGAACAACTCACCTCCTCCACTGAACTGCACTCTCATAAGGACTTCAGGTTACAAAGTCTGTCCCACTCCATTTCTGGAGGAAGAATCCGGAGGTCAGACTCCAATTTTTAATGGGAGCATTATTGGCAACTGCGGCTGAAGCAGTCTTCACTGCACAAGACTGGCTACCAATGTAGCCCTTTGGTATAGTCCCAGCTAAGTTCCTATGGTCACCTCCTATATGCTTGCTGGCCAAAATCAACTACTCACAGAGTGAGACTGGCTCCACCCAGGCTGAGGATCATGCAACTTGGAGTGATTTGCCCAGCATTAGTCCAAGGTAGAGGCAGTTTGCACCTAGGTTTTCAGATTTCCTCCCCCTCCATGAGGCTCCCCTCATTCTTTACATCCTCTAAGCGCAAAGCAGGCTTTTCTAGCTAAGATCATAGGATAATTCAAACATGTTCCCAAAACTTTGTATGTGGTGACCACAAATTTAACTCCTGGTCCCGTGACCACTGCAGCTTCTCTGTGAGGTATGAGTTTCAGTTTGTTAACCCAGATGTACTGATTGTTCTCCTTCTCTTTAAATGGTATTGCTTCATTATGGATCAATTACAGTATATTCTGTATAACCATGCTAATAGTAGATGATTTTCTTAGATGCTTTCCTGGTTATGAAGCCAGAGAAACTGAGATTTGAGCCTCCCTCCTCCTCTTCTTTCTCATTCTCCTCTTCCTTCTCTTCTTCTACCTCTTGCTCCTACTTCTCCTTTTCCTTCTCCTTCTCCTCTTCCACCTCCTCCTCTTTCTCCTTCTCCTCCTTCTCCTCCTCCTCCTCCTCCTTCTCCTTCTCCTTCTCCTCCTCCTCCTCCTCCTCCTTCTCCTTCTCCTTCTCCTTCTCCTCCTCCTCCTCCTCCTCCTTCTCCTCCTCCTCCTCCTCCTCCTTCTCCTTCTCCTTCTCCTTCTCCTCCTCCTCCTCCTCCTCCTTCTCCTCCTCTTTCTCCTTCTCCTCTCCTTCTCCCTCTCCTTCTCCTTCTCCTTCTCTTTCTCCTCCTTCTCCTTCTCCTCCTCTTTCTCCTCCTCTTCCTCCTCCAATAACCAGTTAGTTGTGTAACCTTCTGAAGGACGCTTGGCAGCACTGCATGCACAAGACCCTGAAACACAAAAAAGGAAGAGGAAAAAAAGACAGCAAAGGGGTCTGCATTTATAGAATGGAGAGGAAAAAAAAAATCCCCTTCTGAGGCTCCTCAGATGGATTAAATGCAGTAAGGTACGTGTATTACTTGGTTAGCACCTGTAGTTGTCCAGTAATTGGTGTGGCCACCATTGTCATCAC